TTTATGCCTTACCACTCGAAGGAATCACAACAATCAAGCCTTATTAACCCCCCTGGTGGTATTCCCGAGTGTAGATCGGGGTAAAGTTTCAGCACCACAAGCGGTGACCCCGAACTACACTCGGGAATACACTGCAGCGTTGCTCCGCGATCTATTCTTCACTTACCTTGTCCTGCGCTCCCGCGATGTCCCCCCTGTAGTGTCCCCGACCAATGCCCGCATCTGTCTTCCAGGTTCCGTTCCCTGCGACGTCGGGACGTACGGGGGACGGAACTGGCGGGAAATTTAAAAATGTCAAAAAGTGACATTCACTAAATACACTAAAATCACATAGTATAACATTCCTGTATCAAACCATTTCACATACATTTTGTCCCGAGTGCTTTGTCCGGCGCCCTGCCTGCATTTTTACTGTTCTTTCTGCCTGGAAACTGAGAAACGTCCATGGCGTCCAAAAAGCGTCCCTTTAGGTCAAAAGCGGTTTTAGACGGCTAGAGAACAGCGATCGTAAATCAGAACCACTTGCAGAATTGAGTGATAATGATTCGTGGGGGAAATTCCTCATCAGACACTGAAAACGATTCTGCGACTTTGCTCAGCGATGTGCGAACTTGGCGCTATATTTCAACTTTCAGTGTTTTTGGTTTGATTATATTATTGAATTAACTGTATTATTATTATATTGTTATTTTTTATATTATAATTTATGATTTTTTATTTCAAATTTTAACACACCCGGGATGTTTACTAGACTCTTGTTTGGACAGATTTCAGTGAGTTATTCCTAAAAATTACAGGCCTACAGTAAAAAAACGACATATTTCCATGCAAAAAAATGTACCGCTTTGAGCACAGAAATACTGACATAATCAGACCGCTAGGGAGGCTACAGTCTTACCTGTAGGTAAAAGTTACCAAAGTGGGTTTACTTCCATTTTAACTATTGGATGTGTATGAATTATTTTTGGAGAATGAGGATATGATGCAAGGTTTCCATCTTTCCAGAAATTCCTGGGCAGTTCATAGTAATGTCTTGGGTTTTTTTTGCTCGCATTTAGTATCAGCCAATCACTCTGGTCTCAGTGAACGACTTCTATTCCCGCTCGTCTCTGCAGTACATGCGGCTCGTGCCGGGGAGTGGAGAAAGGAAAACGGATACCACGCAGATCATGAAACGTTGATGAGACGGCGGAGAGGGGCTGTAATAGGAACCGCCGGCAGCTGGCAGGCCGGGATCTGCGCTATCCCTTACCCAGCACCTTCTCAGGAAGCTTTGGATAATTTATGCCAGGAGAGTTCTCTACGTGTTGGTACTTAATCTACAACATAATTTATAGGAACCGAGCGGCTACCGTGTTACACTTTTCCCTGGTCACTTGACCGATGGAAAGTTTCTGGAGTCAGGGGAGCTGCTGTGCGTTTTGCTGCATTTTCCAGTGCAGGTCTGGTCAGGATGTTGTAGGACCTGTGTGGACAAGTCTTCAGCTTCTGTCAATGGCATCAGTTTCTGAAATCATTCAGACTTCATAAAAGCCTCGGGGCAAAAAAAAAAAAAGTTTTCCCATGCAGGGGGGCTGCTCGTTTTGTCCAGCGGCGACCAGAATGCTTGTATTCACCCAATCCTCCAATCCAGCAACAAAGGGCGCTCCCCCACGATCCAGCAGTGGACTGTTCCTGACATCATCTGGTCCAGGGCAGGTCTATGGGCTTGATGATGTCAGGAACAGTCCACACCGCCCAAGACCATTAGACTGGGGTGGGAGGGGGTTTGGCAGGGACCAGTCTTGTGCGGAGAGAATCGGAGGATTAGGCATTTCTCCGTTCTCCAATCCCCTAGACCAGTGGTCGGCAAGCCGCGGCTCGCGAGCCACATGCGGCTCTTTACAAACTTAAATGCGGCTCTTCTGTGTGCCGGGCGCCCGCTCCCCTCCCTCCTCTCGGGTGGCCGCCCGCTCTCCTCCCCTCCCTCCTCTCGGGTGGGCCGCCCGCTCCCCTCCCCTCCCTCCTCTCGGGTGGCCGCCCGCTCCCCTCCCCTCCCTCCTCTCGGGTGGCCGCCCGCTCCCCTCCCTCCCTCCCTCCTCTCGGGCGGCCGCCCCCTCCCCTCCCTCCTCTCGGGCGGCTGCCCCAAAAGTCAGGACTCTGCAGCTGTCAGGATGTAGGCGGGGCAGCCAGGATGTAGGCGGGGCAGCGTGACGAACTCCTCTCCTCTCACAGTCCGCCCTGAAGACCAGAACGGGCGCGGGAACACGGCGAGAGGAACGCGCGGAGCAAAGGTAAGTGAATTGACACAGGGGGGACTTACTATATGGGGGATGAATTACTATATGGGGGATGAATTACTATGGGGGATGAATTACTATGGGGGGGATGAATTACTATGGGGGATGAATTACTATATGGGGGATGAATTACTATATGGGGGATGAATTACTATATGGGGGATGAATTACTATATGGGGGATGTATTACTATATGGGGGATGAATTACTATATGGGGGATGAATTACTATAGGGGGGGGGGGGATGAATTACTATAGGGGGGATGAATTACTATATGGGGGATGAATTACTATGGGGGATGAATTACTATATGGGGGGATGAATTACTATATGGGGGATGAATTACTATATGGGGGATGAATTACTATATATGGGGGATGAATTACTATATGGGGGATGAATTACAATATGGGGAATGAATTACTATAGGGGGAATGAATTACTATAGGGGGAATGAATTGTATAGGGGGGATGAATTACTATATGGGGGGTGAATTACAATATGGGGAATGAATTACTATAGGGGGGATGAATTACTATAGGGGGGATGAATTACTATGGGGGATGAATTACTATAGGGGATGAATTACTATATGGGGGATTAATTACTATGGGGGATGAATTACTATGGGGGGATGAATTACTATATGGGGGATGAATTACTATATGGGGGATGAATTACTATGGGGGATGAATTACTATGGGGGATGAATTACTATATAGGGGGGGTGAATTACTATGGGGGGGATGAATTACTATGGGGGATGAATTACTATATGGGAGATGTATTTTCAGTCTTAAAAATGTGGCTCTCAAAATAAATTTCAATCGTGGTTTTGGCGAGATTTGGCTCAGTTGAAAAAAAAGGTTGCCCACCACTGCCCTAGACAAAAAGGGGCAATTAACCATTGCAGTGCAGGTACAGCCGCACTGCAAGGGAAGACTTTTTTTTATCCGGAGTTGGGCTTTAGCAGGTGTAGTTGACCTCCTTCCAACTTGCAGTTCACCTCCTTCTTGCATTTGACCTGCTTCAAGCAAGTTTTGCATACCTATTCACTTGTGCGGGAATACAGAACCTGTTTCAAGTGAAAGGAGTTCCATGATCACAGCATACACATTCATGTTATAACATCAACATTGTAATAGCAACACTTGTATTGTATATGCATACCTCCCAACTGTCTGAGATGGGAACAAGGGACACCTATTAGCAAAAGTATGTAGGCATAGGGCATGCCCCCTGCCACGCCCCCTTAAAGGAGAATTACGCAAAAAAAAAAAAACCTTCAGACCAGGCGTCTGACAACTTGGAGACTGTTTACTTAAACTTTCTTGCCAATGCAGAGTTCATTGAACCCAGTCTCTTTCCCAGTTCTTCACAGACACTTGACTATTGCACCAGAGATAGGCTCGTCCACTTCCCCATTACCACCATTACCGTTCCGCACCAACCCCCTTCCCCTTAGCCAATTATACTAACAAAAGACATAACACCAATTTTGGAGTAAATGGCCAACATGGCCTTTTATTAACAACTCAAGTTACAATACACCAACCATTCCTTATAACAGAAACCCACAGAATTGTTGTTGGTCTTCGAAGGCACCCCAAAACGATCCGAAATGCACCTGCGGACAACCATATACACTAGGCCTCCAGCCGCAACCAACCAGCTCGGAGACAACCATACCGTCCGCAGTGCAGCACCACCACCTTCCAGTTAAACCTGGTTAACTGGGAATGTCCCCGAGCATCCCATACCACGGATGGGTCCCACACCATTGTTGTTTACCTTCCAAAGAAGAACCGCCTCCAAAGACCAACAACCGCCCATGAACCAACATAATCCCCCCCTCTACCTGGAGGGACCCAAAACTCACCCAAACAGGGAGGGCGGGAGGGAAGCTCACACTCTTGCCGTCCAGCTAACTGACGCCCCCTCACAGAACCTCCCACCCTAAGGTGCAGCAAAACCCTACCTACACCAACCTCTACCAATCAGCTACCCCCCACTAACAATAACAAATCCCCCTGGAGCTACCTTAACCCTTTCTGCTCTTCCTTCCCCCACTCTGGGCCTAGTCATGTATGCCCTGCGCTATTTCTTCTTTATTTCGCTACGGGCATTTCTTTTCCAGTGTCCATTCTATACATGAAGGTACAAAAACTTACTGTGTACAGCAGCCCCCCCCCCCCCAAATATTCACCTAAGCTCCCTCTAGATCCAGCGATGTGCACTGGTGTCTTGGCTATCCCAGGACTCCCTCTCCTCATTGGCTGAGACAGCAGCGGGAGCCATTAGCTCCCACTGCTGTCAATCACAGCCAGTGTGTGAATGGAGACAGGGAGCAGAGGGTGCCTCCATAGCAAGTTGCTTTCTGTGGGGGCACCCGTGAGGAGGGAGGAGCCAGGAGTGCCTGTAGGGGACCCGAGAAGAGGAGGATCGGGGCTGGTCTGTGCAAAACCATTACACACAGCAGGTAAGTATGGACATTTTTTTTTTTTTTTTTCTTTAAATATGTATTACTTTAGTATCACTTTAAGCACCATTATGGACCAGGCTGGTGTGAACAGGCCCTCATTTATTGTACTGCAGCACACTAGGCTGGTGTGAATAAGTCCTTTAAACTGCAGCACACTGCTGGTGTGAATAAGTCCTTGTAAACGTTGCACTGCAATGGACCTGGCTGGTGTGAATGGTAGGGCTCAGGGGCAGACTGACCATTTAGTCACTCGGGCACTGTCCGAGGACCCAGGGTCAGTAGGGGGCCCCATGAGATGCCCCTGGTACCTTTCATAGGCTTTTTTGGGTGTGGTTTGAGTGTGGGAGAGGACACAGGGGCCCCATTTTTTCCTATTGCCCAGGGTCCCCATGAGTTGTCAGTCCGCCCCTGATAGGGCTGCCGCCTCATCCCTTTAAAACTGAACACATATTAATTACACAGGTTCTGAGGCTAATTTATTGTAGGTAAGGCACTAAGTGAGATAATTACCACCTTAATCAGCCCCAGAACCTGTGTAATTAATATGAATTCAGTTTTAAAGGGATGAGGTGGCAACCCTAGTGAATGGGCCCTCATTAATTGCACTACAACAACCCAGGGTGGTGTGAATAGACCCTCCTTTATTGTATCTCAGCAGACCAGGCTGGTCTGAATGGGACCTCATTAATTGTACAGGGACAGACCAGGCTGCTGTGAATAGACCTTCCTTTATTGCACTTCAGTGGACCAGACTAGTATGAATGGGACCTCATTACAGTTGCCACCTCCTCCATTTAAAACCGAATACATATTAACTACACAGGCTCCGAGGCTAAGTTAATGCAGATATGGCACTAGGTGAGTTTAATTACCACCTTAATCAGCCCAGAACCTGTGTAATTAATATGTATTTGGGTTTAAAGGGATGAGGTAGCAACCCTAGTGAATGGGCCCTCATTAATTGCACCACAACAACCCAAACTGGTATGAATGGACACTCGATTACTGCACTGCAATGGACTAGGCTGGTGTAAATAGGTCCTTGCTTATTGCACTGCAATGGACCAGGCTGGTGTGAATGGGAGCTCATTAATTGTACCGCAACAGGCCAGGCTGGAGTGGATAGGCCCTCATTTATTGCACCTCAGCAGACCAGGCCGTTGTGAATGGGACCTCATAAATTGTACCGCAACAGACCAGGCTGGATAGGATAGACCCTCATTTCTTGCACCTCAGCAGACCAGGCTGTTGTGAATGGTACCTCATTAATTGTACCGCAACAGACCAGGCTGGAGTGGATAGAACCTCATTTCTTGCACCTCAGCAGACCAGGCTGTTGTGAATGGGACCTCATTAATTGTACCGTAACAGACCAGGCTGGAGTGGATAGACCCTCATTTATTGCACCTCAGCAGACCAGGCTGTTGTGAATGGGACCTCATTAATTGTACTGCAACAGACCACGCTGGAGTGGATAGAACCTCATTTATTGCACCTCAGCAGACCAGGCTGTTGTGAATGGGACCTCATTAATTGTACCGCAATAGACCAGGCTGGAGTGGATAGACCCTCATTTCTTGCAGCTCAGCAAACCAGGCTGTTGTGAATGGGACCTCATTAATTGTACCGCAACAGACCAGGCTGGAGTGGATAGACCCTCATTTCTTGCACCTCAGCAGACCAGGCTGTTGTGAATGGGACCTCATTAATTGTACCGCAACAGAACAGGCTGGAGTGGATAGACCCTCATTTATTGCACCTCAGCAGACCAGGCTGTTGTGAATGGGACCTCATTAATTGTACTGCAACAGACCACGCTGGAGTGGATAGACCCTCATTTATTGCACCTCAGCAGACCAGGCTGTTGTGAATGGGACCTCATTAATTGTAAGGCAACAGACCAGGCTGGTGTGAATAGACCCTCATTTCTTGCACCTCAGCAGACCAGGCTGTTGTGAATGGGACCTCATTAATTGCACTGCAACGAAACTAGGCTAGGGTGTGAATAGGACTTCGCTTATTGCACTGCAATGGACCAGGCCCGGTGTAAAACAGACAAAAAGTATGTTCCAAATGCAGAAACTAGTTATGTTGCAGACTTACATAGAAAAGGTGTAAGTAAGACACATCGCCAAATGGGGCTTCTGAGACAGATACCGACACACGCCAAACCAGACCTTCACCCTTGGCAGGAAAAGAGGGCTTGACATATAACCCGGCCTCATTCACAAAAAGCAGCAACAAAATAAAACCCCACAGTGTATGGGATTCTAACAATTCTATCAGTCATCCACATGGGAAAGGAATGAAAAGCTAGGACCTGTGAGCCGCCTGGTGTGATCCTGGAGGTTCAGCTTCGCCGACCTGTCTCTGCGTATGCCGAGCTGTCAGTTGGATCATTGCAGCAGAGCTGCCGGCTCCGACATCGAGGGCCCCGAGGCATCAAGCTGCAGAAAGTACAGAACGCATGCCGAAAGTGACATTTCAAAGTGAGGAAACTTTTAGAGGTTATTGATAATGATTTAATTAAAGCCGGAGGTTTCCCTGCACATATTTATCACGTTATTCACACAGCAAAGTCCAACGGGTAAAGAGAACCGGTACTGTAACCACACTGTAAGACTGACTGGCGAGGAGAGCGGCAGCTGCATGCTGGATATTCCTTTTCAGTTTTTGTTTCTAAAAAAAAAAAAAAACACAAATTGCACCCCCAAAATGTATATGTTGTAAAAAAATTGTATTAATAAAATAAACTTTAATATTATCTGCATTACTAAAACCCAGGATGCACTAAAGGGATTCTGAAGCCTTGACCATCCCCCAACACCCATTAAAGTGTATCTTTAGTGAGTATATTTCCTGTGAATTGCTTGTCTTTCAGGGCAACTTCTTAAAGTGTTACTAAACCACAAATATAGTGAATGCAGGGGCCGGGGAGACCAGATATAGTGAATGCAGGGGCCGGGGAGACCAGATATAGTGAATGCAGGGTCCGGGGAGACCAGATATAGTGAATGCAGGGTCTGGGGAGACTGGATATAGTGAATGCAGGGTCTGGGGAGACTGGATATAGTGAATGCAGGGTCCGGGGAGACCGGATATAGTGAATGCAGGGTCCAGGGAGAGCGGATATAGTGAATGCGGGGTCCGGGGAGAGCGGATATAGTGAATGCGGGGTCCAGGGAGACCAGATATTATTATTATTATACAGTATTTATATAGCGCTAAAGGGTTTGCTCAGCGCTGTACATTACAAAGGGGGACAGAACATGAGACAAGACAGTAACAATACACTACACGAGGGGTTCGAGGGCCCTGCTCTTTCGAGCTTACAATCTAGGAGGGAGGGGAAGGTGGTACAGGAGGAAATGGCTGTGGGGGATGGAGTGGTGGGAGGAGTGGAGGAGGTTAGTTGTTAGGTGAGGTCGGGGATGTTAGGTGAGGTTGGGGTAGGCTTCCCTGAAGAGGAGGGTTTTCAGGGTGCGTCTGAAGGTGAGGAGGGTAGGTGACAGTCTGATGGATTGGGGTAGGGAGTTCCAGAGGATGGGGGAAGTCCTGGAGAAGTCCTGCAATCGGGCGTGGGAGGAGGAGACCAGGGAGCTAGAGAGTAGGAGGTCCTGTGAGGAGCGGAGGGCACTGGTAGGGTAGTATTTGGGTTTCAGGTCGGTAAGGTAGTTTGGGGCGGTGTTATGAATGGCTTTGTAGGTCAGAGTTAGCAGTTTGAACTTGATGCGTTGGGCAATCGGGAGCCAATGAAGGGATTGGCAGAGGTCCGGGGAAGACCAGATATAGTGAGGGAGGCAGATGTGGAGCGGTTGGTGAGGTGGATGAGTCTAGCTGCTGAGTTTAGGATTGACTGGAGTGGGGATAGCATTTGTTTGGGTAGGCCAGTGAGAAGGGAATTGCAGTAGTCCAGGCGTGAGATGATGAGGGAGTGTACGAGTTGTTTGGTGGTGTCTGGGGTGAGGAATGTGCGTATCTTGGAGATGTTGCGGAGGTGGAGCCTGCAAGATCTAGATAGCAGTTGGATGTGGGGTAGGAAGGAGAGGTGGGAGTCCAGGGTGACACCCAGGACTTTGACGTGTGGGGTGGGAGAGATGGTGGCGTTGTTAGTAGTGATGGAGAGGATGGGGGGGGCACGGGGTGGGGGGAAGTCCAGGAGCTCGGTTTTGGATAGGTTATCCAGTCTGATATGTCGTTTAGGAGGTGGGCGATGCGGGCAGAGAGTGAGGGGGTGAGGTGGGGGGTGGAGAGGTAAATTTGGGTGTCGTCAGCATAGAGGTGGTAATTGAAGCCGTGGGAGGAGTGAATAAATTTGCCAAGGGAGGAGGTATAGATGGAGAAGAGAAGGGGCCCGAGGACAGAGCCTTGGGGGACCCCGACAGAGAGGAGGAGGGAGGGGGAGGTGGCAGTGTTGTAGGTGACGCTGAAGGAGCATTGGGAAAGGTAGGAGGAGAACCAGGAGAGAGCAGCGTCCTTGATGCCAAGGGAGTGCAGTTTGGCAAGGAGGAGAGGGTGGTCAACAGTGTTGAAGGCCGCGGAGAGGTCGAGGAGCAGGAGGATAGAATAGTGGCCATTGGCTTTGGCGGTTATATATAATACAATGGATATAATGAATGCGGGGTCCTGGGAGACCGAATATAGTGATTGCAGGGTCCAGGGAGACCAGATATAGTGAATGCAGGGTCCGGGGAGACCGGATATAGTGAATGCAGGGTCCGGGGAGACCAGATATAGTGAATGCAGGGTCCGGGGAAACCAGATATAGTGAATGCAGGGTCCGGGGAGAACAGATATAGTTGAATGCAGGGTCTGGGGAGACCAGATATAGTGAATGCAGGGTCCGGGGAGACCGGATATAGTGAATGCAGGGTCCGGGGAGACCGGATATAGTGAATGCAGGGTCCAGGGAGACCAGATATAATGAATGCAGGGTCCGGGGAGAGCAGATATAGTGAATGCAGGGTCCAGGGAGACCGGATATAGTGAATGCGGGGTCCGGGGAGACCGGATATAGTGAATGCAGGGTCCGGGGAGACCGGATATAGTGAATGCGGGGTCCGGGGAGACCGGATATAGTGAATGCAGGGTCCAGGGAGACCAGATATAATGAATGCAGGGTCCGGGGAGAGCAGATATAGTGAATGCAGGGTCCAGGGAGACCGGATATAGTGAATGCAGGGTCTAGGGAGACTGGATATAGTGAATGCGGGGTCCTGGGTTTAGTAACACTTTAATCAGTGCTGGGTTTTTATTTTTTGCGTTATAAACGGAAAAAGAACTAAAATTTGGAAAACAATGCGTGCCTTATCATTGGTGTCATATGGAGGAATAGCGTCCCATCATTTGTGCCAGTATGGGGAATTATGGTCCATCATTGGTGTCAGTGGGCCCCATTGTTTGTGTGAGTGGGAGAATTTGTGCCCCATTGTTGGTGCCATTGGGAGGAATTGTGCCCCATCACTGATGTCAGTGGGGGGGGAATTATGCCCCCTTGTTGGTATCAGTGGATGAAATAGCGCCCCAAGGGCCAGATAAAAGCTAGCAAAGGGCCTCATCTGGCCCTCAGGCCGCAGTTTGGAGACCACAGTTCTATAGGGAAAAGTAGATGAAGGCATTGTCAGGGGGAGAGCTGTGATCTCTGTGAGAGGTAATAAATACCTGCAAGTGTTACAGTGACACTTTACTGAGCCTAATGGACTCAATATGAAGATATATCTAATGGCAGTTCCACTCCTTTGTATTCCTCTGCTGTAAAACTGTCAATTTGCAGCAGCTGGAAAATGTAAAGAGGGAAGGAGTGAAATGTTCTGTGTGATTTCCCATGAGGTTTCCCTGTGGATGTCAATCGTCAATCGAGAGGTAATTTCACCTGGCGGAGTGCCAGGGGAGCTCACATCAGACATCAGGTACCATCTCAGTGACCTCTCCAGGTGGCGCCCCCAGCAGGTGCCCCGGGGTAGTGCTGTGTCTTCCAGGTGTGAAGCGTCTATCACTGGCAGCGGTCTGGCAGCAGTTGTTGGCAGCGTGTTGTGTACATAACAGGCACTGTGTAGAATCCATACCCCGAGGACACACAATTCACCGCTGACCCGCCCGCATTACTCATCAGCAAAACTTCTGTGTAATACGGAGGAGGGGGAGGGGCTCGCACAATCACTGCACATCCATGAAAACAGATCTGCTGTGAGGCTGCATTTACATCTGAGCGTTCCGTGATCGCGCCACAAAAGTGCGTGTCATTGCGCACATTCACAGAATGCGCAAAAAAGAAAAACAACCCGCGTGACACTTGTACTGCCCTTCATTGTTATCGGGTCCTTAACCCCCACCCCCGGTCACACCAATCCTGACTTTGAAATCGTGCAACGCACAGTGAAGTCGCACGACTTTAAAGTGGGGATGTCATGCCGCTGTGAGCTGCGATTTGCAAGACATCCGACTCCAGGGGCGGACTGACAACTCATGGGGCTCCCGGGCAATAGGGGATCATGGGGCCCCTGTGTCCTTGCCCACACTCAAAAAAGCCTATGAAAAAGGTACCAGGGGCATCTCATGGGGCCCCCTACTGACCCCGGGCCCTCGGGCAGTGCCTGAGTTTCCAAATGGTCAGATGTCTATGAAAATCGCACCAAAAATGCGCTACTTTAGAAACCAAGTCGGAACTGCGCCGATATGACCGCTGTAATTGTCGACAATAGGGTATGACGTTACATGTGTCGAATTCCGAACGATTTTTCGTCCGAAAATCGAAAACGTCATTTGCCCGGTAATGGCGCCATCAATGATTTCGAAAATTGGCCGACCAAGTCATAAAGTTCACCCCAGGGGCGGGCTGACCATTTGGGAACTCGGGCACTGCCCGAGGGCCCAGGGTCAGTAGGGGGCCCTATGAGATGCCCCTGGTACCTTTTGTAGGCTTTTTGGGTGTGGTTTGAGTGTAGGGGAGGACACAGGGGCCCCATGATCCCCTATTGGCCGGGGGCCCCATGAGTTGTCAGTCCGCCCCTGGTTCACCCCATATAACAAGAAAAACGTCTGTTCCTTCCAGGTCACGGCTCATGCGCATATTCTTTTCGGAAAAACGAACGTATGATTTGACCATCATTGAGTCGAAAATCGGACAAGTTTCACGAATTTTCCAACATGCCCGATCACCGAAAAAAGGGGAGGAACCACGAAAATCGGCCGGTGCCATTGACCCACTAACAGAGCGAAAATCGGCCGATTATTCTTAGGTCTGATTGTTGGACGAAAAATCGGTCGAATTTCGACCCATGTATGGCCGGCATTACCATGCAATTTGCAAATCGCATGCCAAGTCGCACCCAGTGTGACCAGGGTCTAAAACACAGCAAGCCGACAAGTGTTTGCGCTCACAACAAATGCGTCAAAGTGCACATTTAAAAACCACTGTGAAGCTTGACACCCAAAAAGGTACGTGAGCTCCTTTGGTGAGTTTGTTGCACAAAGCCAGCTCATCCACATTCCCGAAGCACCCTGCAGTGCTCAGTGCACTACCTTCCCTTCTGGGGGGGGGGGGGGTCACATTGTGTGCGCTCTCTAATGCCGTGTTTCTCAAATTGTTTTTCAGTCAAGGCACCCTTTAAAAATTATGGACAGTCCCAAGGCACCCCATTCTAAAATGGGGTGCCTCAACACTGTCCATAATTTTAACAGGGCACCCCATTCTACAATGTGAAATCCTATTCTAATAGTTTTATATAACGCAGCAACGACCCCACATGTAGGACACCCAACGTTAGAGGTGATTTATTCTTCCAAAGTAACACTGGTACTGACTAGTATTCCGATGTTTCTCCTCTCCCTCAGTTTTTCTCCATCACTGAGCTGATGTGACCCCCAGCAATGACAGAGAGGGGCGGGGGAGGGTCAAACCAGGATGCTGCGCAGACAGCTGACATCCTCATCATATGATGAGGTCATTGGTTGTCAGGATGCCGGTGGCTAGAAGGTCGTAATGTGCACAATGGAAACTTTGTGTAACTAGAGGCAGGCTTGATCCACCCGCTTGGCTTGTATACAAGTTTTGGGCAATTTTTTTGACATTTTGCCAAGGCACCCCTGAAGAAACCTCAAGGCACCCTGGTTGAGAAAGGCTGCTCTAATGTCTAACTGAGCTTATCTCAGCAGTCCTTCACAATGTCTTTATCTGATATAGGAGACACAGGAGAGAGATGTCTGAAATGACTGGCAGCAAACCCCTCCTTTATATTAACCCTTCATCCCCTGCACCCCAGCCATATATACATGGTTCCCTGCTGCAGGAAAAAAAACAACACGTTCGCCCTACTTGGCTTATAAATACGTGATATCACCTCACCCTGGCATCATTACATTGGCTCTCACTCATCATATGACATCACCACCCCTTGGCTTTGCTACGTTCACATCCTTCAACTACTTCATGGATGATTCTCTAGTTGCTGGTCCCCTTGGAATGGTGCAGAGAGATGTGAGGAGATGTGAGTGGCATGGGTGCCACATATCCAGTCTTGAGACCCACACTTCTCTAGAAGGCTCTGAAGGCTGTCTTGGCTGTTGTTCCAGTTGTTCTCGAAGGCAGGTGATGAGGACAGATGTGGGATGTCACCAAAGACTAGGGCTGAACAGAAACAGTGTGAAAGCTAGAGAGGTGGTCAAGGACAAGCTGAAATCGGCAACCGTGGAGTTAGACAGAAAGCTGGACAGCAGGCAGAGCTGTGGTCAAGTGAGAGGAGGAGGTCACACTGAGAAGGCAGATAGGCAGAGGTAAGATGTAGTCAGGAACCAATCAAGTCAGTTAGAGATAGGCAGAGAAGATCCAGAGGCAGGCTGGATCAGCAACATGTGGGCTGAGTAGAGCAGGTCCATTGACAGGCTGGGTCAGCAACAGGTGGGCTGAGTAGAGCAGGTCCAGAGACAGGCAGGGTCAGCAACAGGTGGCCTGAGTAGAGCAGGTCCAGAGACAGGCTGGGTCAGCAACAGGTGGCCTAAGTAGAGCAAGTCCAGAGACAGGCTGGGTCAGCAACAGGTGGGCTGAGTAGAGCATGTCCAGAGACAGGCTGGGTCAGCAACAGGTGGGCTGAGTAGAGCAGGTCCAGAGACAGGCTGGGTCAGCAACAGGTGGGCTGAGTAGAGCATGTCCAGAGACAGGTGGGGTCAGCAACAGGTAGATAGAGTGCAGAAGGTCACGAGTTTGAATGGGTAAGCAACAGGTAGGCAGAATAAAACAGGTCGAGAATCAGGCTGAATCAGCAACAAATTGATAGAGTAGAACTTGTCCAGAGGCTGGCAGAGTCAGCAACTGGTAGGCATAGTAGAGTTGGTCCAGAGGCAGGCTTGGTCAGACACATATAGGCAGAGTAAAGAAAGCCCAGAGCTAGGTTGGGTCAGCAACAGATTAGCAGGGTAGAGAGGCATCAGGAACAGGCCAGGTCAACAACAAGTAGATAGAGTAGAGCAGGTCCAGAGGAAGGCTGGGTCAGCAATGGGTAGATAGAGTAGAGCAGGTCAGGAGGTTGGCCATATCAGCAACAGGTAGGCAGAGTAGAGCATGTCCACAAGCCAGCTGGATCAGTAACGGATAGGCAGGTCCAGAGCCAGGCTGGGTCATCAACAGGTAGGTAGAGTAGAGCAGGTCTAGAGGATGGCTGGGTCAGCAACTGGTAGACAGAGTAAAGGAGTCCAGAGCCCAGCTGGGCCAGCAACAGGTAGGCAGAGTCAAGTGAGTCCATAGACCACCAGGGACAGCATCAGCCAGGCAGAGTAGAGCAGGTCCTGCAGACTGCTGGGTCAGCAAAAAATTGGAAAACTAAAGCTGATCCAGAGTCAGGCTTGGTCAGCAACAAGTAGGCAGAATAATAAAAGCCCAGAGCTAGGTTGGGTCAGCAACAGATTAGTAGGGTAGAGAGGCAATAGAAACAGGCCAGGTCAACAACAAGTAGGTAGAGTAGAGCAGGTCCAGAAGCCAGTTGGATGAGCAACAGATAGGCAGAGTAGAGCAGGTCCAGAAGCAGGCTGGGTTAGCAACAGGTGGATAAAGTAGTGCAGGTTCAGAGGTTGGCCGAGTCAGCAACAGGTGGGCAGAGTAGAGCAGGTCCACAATCCAGCTGGATCAACAAAAGATAGGTAGAGTAGAGCAGGTCCAGAAGCCAGTTGGATCAGCAACAGATAGGCAGAGTAGAGCAGGTCCAGAGGCAGGCTGGGTTAGCAACAGGTGGATAAAGTAGTGCAGGTTCAGAGGCTGGCCAGATCAGCAACAGGTGGGCAGAGTAGAGCAGGTCCAGAAGCCAGCTGGATCAACAACAGATAGGTAGAGTAGAGCAGGTCCAGAGACAGGCTGGATCAGCAATGGGTAGATAAAGTAGAGCAGTTCCAGAGGTTGGCCAGGTCAGCAACAGGTAGGCAGAGTAGAGCAGGTCCACAAGCCAGCTGGATCAGTAATGGATAGGCAGGTCCAGAGCCAGGCTGGGTAAGCAACAGGTAGGTAGAGTAGAGCAGGTTTAGAGGATGGCTGGGTCAGCAACTGATAGATAGAGTAAAGGAGTCCAGAGCCCAGCTGGACAGTAGAGCAGGTACTGCAGAAGGCTGAGTCAGCAAAAAACAGGCAACATAGAGCTGGTCCAGAGGCTGGCTGGGTCAGAAACAGGTAGACAGAGCAGAGCAGGTCCAAAGGCAGACTGGGACAGCAACAAATGGGCAGAGTAGGTCCAAAACCTGGATAAATCAAAAACAGATAGGATAAGTGTAGCAGGTCCAGAGGCTGGCTGGGTCAGCAACAAAAAGGCAGAGTAGAGCAGGTCCAGAGGCAGGCTGGCTTAGCAAACAAGTAGATAAAGTAGTGCAGGTTCAGAGGTTGGCCAGGTCAGCAACAGGTGGGCAGAGTAGAGCAGGTCCAGAAGCCAGCTGGATCAGCAACAGATAGGTAGAGTAGAGCAGGTCCAGAGGCAGGCTGGATCAGCAATGGGTAGATAATGTAGAGCAGGTCAAGAGGCTGGCCAGGTCAGTAACAGGCAGGCAGAGTACAGCAGGTCCACAAGCCAGCTGGATCAGTAATGGATAGGCAGCTCCAGAGCCAGGCTGGGTCAGCAACAGGTAGGTAGAGTAGAACAGGTCTAGATGATGGCTGGGTCAGCAACTGTTAGACAAAGGAGTCCAGAGCCCAGCAACAGGTAGGCAGAGTCAAGTGAGTCCACAGACCACCGGGGACAGTATCAGCCAGGCAGAGTAGAGCGGGTCCTGCAGAAGGCTGAGTCAGCAAAAAACAGGCAACACAGAGCTGGTCCAGAGGCTGGCTGGGTCAGAAACAGGTAGGCAGAGCAGAGCAGGTCCAAAGGCAGACTGGGACAGCAACAAATAGGCAGAGTAGGTCCAAAACCTGGATGAATCAAAAACAGATAGGATAAGTGTAGCAGGTCCAGAGGCTGGCTGGGTCAGCAACAGGAAGGCAGAGTAGAACAGGTCTAGCAGAAGGCTAAGTCAGCAACAAATAGGCAGAGCAGGTCCAGAGGCCTGCTGGGTCAGCAACAGGTAGGTAGAATGGAGCAAGTCTAGATATAGGCTGGATAAACAACTGGTAGGCAGAGTAAAACAGATCAAGAAGGCCAAGTCAGCAACTGATAGGCAGAGAAGCAGCAGGCCAAGAGGCAAGATGGGTCAGCAACAGGTAAGCAGGGTCCTGCAGTGGGGGGAGGTCTACTGGGTAAGCAACAGACCTGTAGAGCAGGTCAAGAGGTCAGCAGAATATAGGAGAGATGGGGGGGCAGGCAACCATTTCAATAACAGTGCAGAGCAGAGATCCTCCAGGAAGAGCGGATCCCTGTACATTGACTGGATGTAGATTGTCAGCTTCTGGGTCTAATCCTGATGTCAATTCGCTAACAGTGCAGAGCAGGGATCCTCCAGGAAGAGCGGATCCCTGTACATTGACTGGATGTAGATTGTCAGCTTCTGGGTCTAATCCTG